TGTGTAACCAGTCCCTGTGATGGGCATTCAGAATGCTGCACAGCTTTAGGTCTTGCAGACATCATTGTGTCTCTTGTAGTTCTTAGGTCATGTTATGCCCTGGACAAGTCTGCCTATAGGATAAGTTCTTGTAGAATTTCCAGGTCAGTCCCACTCTGTCCTCTGGTGCCAAATATTGCCAGGCCAGCTCCTCTGTGAGCACAGTGGTCATCTGATTATCAACATGATAGATCAGGATGCACTTATTTCCAGGAAAGTCAGACCCTGCCCCCACCCCACCTCACCTCACTATATGACACCAGACAGAGAATCCAGCTCCCCTGGAGACAGCAGAGACTGCATTCCCTCCCACAGAATGGCGAACTGGGAAGACATTCCTTTGAACAGGGATGGAAAACTGGGCATTTCCCAGGTCAGGAATGGTTAAGCCAATCTCCTGGAGCCTGGTGTACTTTCTTACTAGTTAAATATATCGGGCACTGGCCAGGAGAGCATTGGGTTTACCACTTCATTCAGGCCGTGACGGTCTACAGGCGGGTTCTGAGACCCATCTGAGACTGGCCCGAAGGGACTGTTGTATCTAGACAGGGTGAGAATTCAGATGCCAGCCTCTATCATCCCTTCAGTAGAGTGGATCGTTCTGTCACACCCAGGTCTGCTCTGTATTTTCCAGCTTCCTGCTACTTGGAGCTTTTGCAAGCTTACGAGTTCCCACATAGACACCCGGTTAATATCAGCAGAAGGGCTCTCCCCCCACTTCCTTTCTATTTGGGACGGTAGTCTGAAACCCCATTGGTGGAAAGTCATCTCTCGCAATTATGGGAAAGATGAAACTGTGTGGTCCTCGTCTGCGGTTCTTTCCACCACATGTGGACGTGTGGGTGGAAGTTTCTTCCCAAACAGCTGCCTCTGCAGCCAGAGTCCCTGCACCTCCTTTAGCATATGACATCCAGGCCCATCTCTTGTGTCACCTAAGCCCAAATGAAGGATGTTCCCCATCTCTTGCCCTATGGCCACAGGCTTAGCATGTTCCCTTAGATACCCCTTGGAAGGGTTGCACAGAAGTCCCAGCTGCCCCCCAGACCGTGGGGCCACCCAGTGGTTCCTGGTCATTGTGTCAGACTGAGTCACCTGCCCAAAAAGGAGACTCACCCAAGTCCCTGCTCAGACCCTCTGGCTTACCTCCTCCCCAGCCTCTTCAGCCCTTCTTGAATAAATTAAGTTAAATCTGAATAAATAAATACAGGTTTGCCCAAAACCTCTGGGAGGGACCCACCCATTTGCATCTTCTTTCCTCGGTGCCAGTAAGCCGACATCTTCACTGGTTGTATTTCTCACTTCTGCTCTTCTGGCGTTAATGACCTTACAAGTGCCTCATTTTTGTCTAGTCTGCCTGAAGCTGCCCTTGGCCTGTTTTTGTCTCATCCCTCTCCCTGGCTTCATGCACTGTCACGTCCCTCCCTTTGTCTCGGCCTCAGATCCCATGGCGGCTCAACTCTGCTGTCCACTCACTCCATTCCCCGGTCATTGGCTTCGTGGACACATTCACCCCCTGGACCAGGCAGGGCCAGGCAATCACTCTGTCAGTCGGAGAGAAAGAGGTCTCTTTTGATCCCATGCCATTAGGGGCAGGAGCACAGACTGAATCCAGAGTGGATCCATTTCAGAAGGGGTTTTTCACTTCTCAGAGCAGAGAGGAACCAGGCAGTTTCCTTTTATGGTAAATATAATGCAGTCGAGCCCTAGTCCAGGTATTGGGCAAAAATCTATGACTGAGCATAGGTACCAGTTACAGGTTACTTTTTAAATGAAACAAACCTCACCAGTCACATGGTTCATTCACCGGGTGCTGGCCCTGATCACTTAGTTCCAGTACTCACATCACATTTCTAAGAGGCTGAGTTGGAGCTCACTTCTTAGGATGCTTGATGAGGCAGGACCATAGCCATCCCCAAGGGCCCTGTTCCTCATTTATACCTGAGCACTCTTTGGGTCCATGTGGTTCTCAGCACCCCCCAGACCTGGACCTCTCTTTTCTCCCAGGCTACTGCAAGAATCAGAGACAGAAGGATTTGAGGGTTTGAGAAGGATTTAGGATACAGTGAAATGAATAGGACTTGAGATCTATTCATTTGTTCGAGAAATAGCTCTTGACTCCCTGTCATGAGCCAAGCCCTGTCCCCTAGAGCTGAGGATAAATTAGGGAGCAAAACCACAGTGGTGTCTGGCCTCACTAGCTTCATAGTCATGAGGAAGACGGATTAGACGTGGGAGTAAGGGGCGGGGTCCAGAATTACCACCCGGTTTCCAGAGAGTTAATAGGGTACCACTTCTCAGGCAAGAGATGCAGAAGGAAAGGAGGTTGGGGCGGGGGATGTGCATCTGTCAGGGTTTGGTCAGGAAAACAGCACCCACAAGTATGTTGGAAATAAAGAATTTAGTGTGGGAATCAGAGCTACTGTGAACGTGGGGGAGTTGGGGAATTAAAATCTGGGAGGAGTGAGATGAAGGATCGGAGGACAGTTACTCCATCCCCAGAAGGACCTGCTCAGGTGGGTACATGGGGGCTTGTGGGAAAATCCCAAGAAGCTGTGTTCACGTGTTTGCTGAGTGAGACGAAGGGGGTGCTGGCCATGTCAGCAGGCAAACAGCCACATCAGTAGAGGTGGGCACGGGGCCCCTGTTGTCAGCAGGACAGGCAGAAATGAGGGGGGTGTAAACATGGATGCTAGGGCCAACCAGCACCTTCTGGGCACCTCCACAGGTGTGATGTCATCCCTGTGTCTGACTTTCTGAGGGTAGTGGCCTCTGCTTCACATCTGCTTTCTAAATCGCACCCGTGTCGTGCCCCCCCCCATCTAGCCCTTACCCCTGCAGGGAAGGGGGTTCTAGGGAAATAGCTCCCAGCTTAGGGGGGCGGGTAGCGCCAAGCTGACAGTGCAGAATCTGGCTCTAGACGTTTGTTTTGGATTCCGCATGGAGATGGCAACATGCTCAGAGCCCTGGGGCAGGATGAATCAAGTGGGTCTGGGAGGATTATGGGCTGTGGAAGCCAGGGACGGGTGTGGTTCAGGGGCATGCACTCCTGGCGGGGCTCCAGTAAGAGAAAAGTGGATGGTGGGGTCAGGGTATGGATTGGGTTCCTGCCTGTGGGAGACAGAAGCCTGCCCAGCCCGAGTGAGGGGGAGCTTGGGGGATGAGGTGGGGTGGTGAGTGTAGACAGTTAGCAAAGTGTGGTTGTGAAGTTGGGGTCTGAGGAGGGAAGGGAACAGTTTTCCTCAACCCTGAGTAGGGAGAGAAGTGACATTTTAAGTTCTAGGTGGGGGGAAGTCCTGCCTCCTGGTAAACGCAGAAGGAAGAGCATGGCATATGTGCTCCAAAACCATCTGCTAAGCTTCACCTGCTGTGTCTCAGCTCCGTGAAATGCTTGGGAGAGTGTGCTTCAGACTCCGTCCTCCTACCAGGAGCCACGAGGTCTCCTCCAGCCGTGTGGTGAATGTCCTGCAGCGGGGTGTGGAGTGTGTCCTCATAGAAGGAGGTGCCGGCTCCTCAGGGGTGCAGAGGGCCCCGGCTCAGAGCCGGCTCAGAGCCGGCTCAGCAGGGGGAGGCTTCCCAGAATGAGGAGGTTTTACAGAAGCCCTAGGAAGCCCCCAGGCAGAGGTGTGTGGGAAGGGGCAGAGGGGCAAGGCCTCAGCACCTCTGGGGGAATTACAGGAAACGCCACAGGGTACTGTAACTGGGCTATTTACACAGAGGCACCTGCTCTGGGCACAGCTCTTAGGAAGAAGGGTCCAGCCCCACACCCTGTCTGCCCACAGCTCTGCCCCGTGGATAAAAGCCCCTGTGCAGGGCACAGCCCTACCAAGTGGCCCTGATGGGGCAGGGACGGGGGGCTCCTAAAGGGCCTTTGGACACCCCTGAAAGCAATCCCATGTGGCTTGATGGGATGAGAAAAACCCCTACCTATGCTGTGTTCTGTGGGAAGAGAAAAGAAGGGACAGGGAGGAACGAAGACAGGCAGGAGGAATGTGAAAGCCAAAGGGGATTTGTTTGACCCTCAGGAGGATTTTCCTTGGCGTGTGCTCTGAAAGCCAAGCAGTGCCGAGCAGAAAAGCAATGAATCATTTATGATTGTATTCATTAAAGGCCTCTGCACTATTATTATCAAACCTTAATTGGCTTGGCGCTCGCGTGGCCCTGCCTCCCCCTGCCCCTTCTCCTGCCTCTGCCATCAGAAGTTCCTCCGATGATGAAGGGGGGACCGGACCACGCCCGGGAGGAGGCCACCTGGGCAAGGATCCACCCACAAGACCAAGTGGAATGCAGTCCCCCCCCTTTTTTTTTCTCCTTGGATCAAGAATTAATAAATGTGTCTGGCTTGGGCTTTGGCTCGCTGCCTGCGTGTGATCTGCTCCAAGCTCCTGGCACCTCTTAGCCCCCTTTGCTTACCCTGTCATGTGAGAATGTCCCCTCTAAGTTGCCCCTTCCAATGGCCCCACAGGAGCAGCGACTTCGTGCATGACAATGCCTGTCCTCTGTTCCAAGTGCCACGCTGGGCGTCGAACCCGGCAACAATATGCAGGTTACCTGATGTACTTTTAATACACTTCATTGTAATTATCACTGCATAAAAGAGAGGACAAATTGGCAACTAATTATAACGTGAATTTGTCAATGTTTTATCCTATTGTGGAGGCACAGTTTCCTTTCTAATTGTACTGGGGGGGGACCCATTTGTCTAGGGTACAGCTTATTGAGGGATTCTGGAACGTGGAAATGAAACACACAGGAGATGGAACATGGGCTTTCCTCCCCTTAAATATGCCTTTATTTGCATGTGTTTTGCAGCCTCCTTAAAAAGCTAACTCGTTTATTCAGGCCTAATTAATGGAATGCCACAGAATGCATAATTAGGCTGTGACAGCTCCAACTGATGGATGGCTTTGGGTTCGGAAACAGGAGATGCCCCCAGTTAAAAGGGCTGAATACTTGCATTTCAGAATCTCACCGGCTGTGCGTGCCTCACGACCGTCCCGCCCGAGAACACGACTGTGGTTCCCGGAAAATGCCCCAGTCCCGGGTGCCAAGAGGCCTTCCTTACCTTCCTGTGTGTGATGTGTGTCTGCAGCATGATCGGGGCAATGGCGCAGACACCCTCGGTCATCATCCTTATCAGGTAAGCTCAGACCCAGGGACTGGCGAGCCAGCCTCACCTCTCGCCCTGCCCCTGCCCTACCTCGTTGGGTGTCTGTGGTCCTCAGGAGACCAGAACGTTGGGTACTGTGTGAGTCTCACAAGCCAGCTTCCTCAGGCTGATAGGGATCCGTTACATTCGACAGGAACCTCACAAGAGACCAGAAAGTGTGGCCCAAGGGAGATGATGCACTTTCATATCCTCCCAAGAGTAGACTCTGCAGGTGATTATGAAAGGAACTGTGGTCCTGCATTGATTTTTACAGAGAGCAGCATCGTTGGTGTAAAACAAAAATGGCATTGGACTGGCCAAGTCCTCAAGTCCAGCTCCCGTCCAGCCACTGATCAGCCACATGACCTTGGGCACATTTTTCCCTCAGACTTGTTTCTGAATGGGGGCCGGGGATTGACGTCATTGGTCCTGCTGGCCTCCTGCAGTGGTGTGGGTCCCATTGAGACCATGTGTGTACCAGAAGTGACCGCTCTTGTATAAATAGATGGCTGGAGAGAGCACCCGTAGTGTGTGGCTCCCTGCCTCTCGGGACCTACCCTGGGGACATGGGAGGTGCCTCCGAGGTGAACTATGGCGTCATCTTCTGAGTAACTTGTACACTTGCCAAGTTATCTAGAGTTGTGTGAGGAACCTAGAAGTGGAATGCTCCATAACCCAGTGTCTCTACTGAACCAGAGGAAGTGGCACCAAACACAGACCCACCTTACTGGGATTCGGCTAATTCACTCCTAGGGGGTAGAAATACAAGTAGGAACGCAATGCTTGAGTGTGACCTGTGCCAACAACGCACATCCCCAGCTGCTTTATCCACCTCCTCTCTCTTTCTCCCCATGGCCATCACATTTCCCAATCTCGGTTATGAATTCCTAAGGAAGAGCATTTCTACGAAGTGCTTATGTGCTCGAGGAGGTCATTAGCAAAGCCTTGTTAATGTGCAGAAGCATTAAGGCAATAATAACAAAGTGCCATTCTATACTTGCTAAACTTGAGAAATCAGTGTTAAATATTCACACCCAGTGCTTGCAAGGCTGCAGCAAAACTGGTCAAATCGCATACTGCTGGTGGGATTGAAAAGCCTATTGCTCCAATTTTCAAAGAAGCAATATAGCATTGTGAATCAAGAGTCATAAAAATGTTCAGATTTTTTATGAGGTAACCCAACCTCTCACCACTTAGGAAAATACTTCTCTACCAGAAAAACAGCTCTGTGCTGACAGATTTTTATTACAATGTTAACTATAATAGCAGAAGAACCTGAATTGGAATAATGAATTAAATTACAGTACTGTACCATAGCTCAATGGGATAATGAAAATTCTTAAGAATGTGAAAAGTATTTGTGGAATGAACTATTGCATTTAAATTATATACGGAGGTTGATTATATATAATATGCATGTGGACAAAACCCATCAGACCCTAGGTATGGGTCTGAGGTGGCTGCATTATGGATAACTTATTTTTCATTATTAGAAATTCCTGTGAAGTTATATTGTGTTGGTCACACACAAAAGGCACCAAGGTGCAGGAAGAATGACCTTCATGACGATTAGCAGTGACTAGTCCCCTTTCTCTGCTCCGCATGACTTCTGTACAAAAGAGCCTGCTCACTGTTTGTGACGGGCAGAGCAAACACAGAAAGTTGAAATCTTAATCACTTCCAAGTCCCAGCTTGATAAACAGCTCTTGGAGATTTTCAGGAAACATTTGATTCCTTCACATAGATCAGCAGCAGATGATCTACATGACCTAGGTTGGGCCTCAGCCACCCCATAACTCCATGCTCTGCTGGGGCCTGCTGGAGGCACAGGCTCACACATTGGGTCCATCGAGATGACCGGGGTAGCACCTTATTCTGTCACCATCCCTGTCCACTACGCCATCATAGATGTTCTAGGCAGACACGAGGGCATAGCCTGGGCCACAGCCCAGGTGTGTGCCAGTCCTTACCCCGTCCCAGAGTGATGGCTCCACTGTAGTGTGCAGAACACCCGCAGGTGAGGATATAAGCTAACCCCCATCACACCCCTCTTCGGAGCCCGCGCCGGGCTCCTGTTTTAATTACGTGTTTACATCCTTATCAGCATTCCCCTTCTACTGATGGGGAGGTGGAGCCTCAGAGAATGGTTAAGCAGTATTCTCAAGGTCATCAGCTCGTAAGTTGTAGACCTAAGCCCCCATCCCTGGCCTTGCCCAGACCTTTTAGTAACATTCAGACCTGAACCTTCCATTTCTGCACAACTAGACCAGAGAAGGAAGACTCCCTCCGGGGGAACCAGTTCCCCAACAGGATATGAAGGGAGATCTTAGCCCCTTGCTCATTTTATTCCTAATGACATGAGAGCTGAAAGGAAAGCAGATTTCAAGTGATAAGTATTCTAGCTCATGCCAGCATGTTTTCTTGAAAAGGAGAATTTGCTTTTATTTGGCTGTCTTTCAATTCAGAACCTTCAAGTGAATGTGCAAAAACCAGAACCATGGAGCTGAAAATAGCTCCGAAGAACTTGGATTTTGAAACATGTATATTCTAAAGAGAACTGGCTGTGGTTCTGTCCAGAAATGCTGATCTCATTGTTGATATTGTTCAGGTATCTGGTTTCATCAGCCAGAGAGTGGTTTTCCCATCGCTCAGAGAAAGTCTTGACCTGCTGGCCCATATTGCACTCTTTATAATTGAGAAGACATGGGTATTTCCCCAAGAATAACACATTTTTAGTTTTCACTGAAAATCTTAGAACTAGGGCAAAGATTGTAAAAACTACATCCATGTTCCTTTTGGTTTGATGGTGTCCTTTGGCCACTCTTCCAAGAAGCCAAAGACATGCCCACCTGAGGCTCGAACCAGGTGGTAGGTCATTGGAATGGATGGCGTTGGTGGTGAGATGAATGACCTCTGGGGTCATGTAAAAATATAATTTTAGCTACCAAATGCATAGTCAGATTATGTATCCTGGGTATTAGATATCCAGTGGTACTTTGTTTCTAACATTTATTTTCTACAGAACTGATTGCCTCGGTTCTCCCTGTGTTGCATGGGTCTTCCTGGTCTTTCAGCCATATTGAAATGCTCCTGGTGTTTCCAAAGGCTCAGCCACACTGGACTGGTTCTAGGCCTAGCCAAGTCCTTCCAGGAGTCATAGTCGTGTGGTTACCTCTCCATCTCCCCTAGGGACTCATGATGGGAATAGCAGAAGGGGAAGTTTCTCTGCCAGTGGTGTCCAGGATGACCTGAAGCAGGTGTGCGTGGAGTCGGGCAAATATGTCTCCCTTCACAACCCCTCACCACTCCACCAGAGATGGGGCCAGCCTGGGTCATGAGTGAGAGACATGTGCCTACCCCTCCACCCACTTATATATTACTCAGCATATCATCACTGCACTCATGGTGAACAAGATACAAATTGTCCCTTGACTCAAGGAAAGAGGACAAGCATTGAATTAATACGAGTTTCAAGAGTAAGAGGCATTTCAAAGGAAATGTGTTATCAGCTGTGAGGGCCCCTTTATCTGGAATAGGTCACCTTTCCAAACCTCCTCCACTGTCGTACTCATCCCAGAAAATGTTACACTCTGAGAATATTCTAGAAAATGTGCAAGAGAATCATTCTAAGGGACTGTTGTAGATAAACCAAAGCCAGGGTGATTGAGTCAGTTCAAAACAAAGAACCATGACTCTATGAAGGTACTTTTCCAATTTAAAAGGTACTGACACTGGATATAGATGAATGGGTTGTTTTGCCAGTGCGGTCCATCTGCAGTGTCAAACCATGCCCGTCTGGATGATTTCACAAAATAACCTGAGAAGGTCGAGGGTGTTCACGGTGCTGGCTGTTTGTGAAGCCAGAAGAGAAATGGTCTTCCTAGTTGATATTTCCCCAATACACGTGTGCTACCAACTTAAGATGTTTTCCTGTCCTGGCAAAAGCAAAACTCCTTCAAAGGAAGACTTTAGGGACCACATTTGCATGTCTTTCTTCCAATGACAAGATTAGCCCTGTTATTAAAAAACACTTTTAAACTTATCTTGTCACTGCAGTTAGTTCTTTTTCAGACTTTAGGCAGAGAAAGCCGAATGAATGAATGAATGAATGAATGACCAACCAACCAACCCACCCATTAATTTCTAAAGAATGGCTCTGATGGACAGCAGTGGATGACTCTGGGGTCTGTTAATTAAAGCGGAGTGATAAGAATCTTTTCCTTTCTCCTCTTCACCTCTTTGCACGTAGGACAGTGAGCCCTGAACTCAAGTCTTACGCCCTGGGAGTCCTGTTCCTCCTCCTCCGTTTGTTGGGTATGTATGCTCTCTTTATTCCCTCAATAATGAATTGGATGCTTATGACCAGGTGAGTAAATATCCATGACTTTGTCCCATTTCTTGAGCTTGCCTTTTTTTTTTCTATGAAGTTTAATAACTATTAGTAAACAAGAGAAACTTTAAATCTGTACGTTCTGCTCTGGGTTTAGACCTGTTCTCTCTCTGGATACTGCAAAGTTTTCCTTTATATAAACTCTGTCTCTGTGCCACACTGAATTTTCAGCGGCATAAGAAGGGGAAAGTGATGGCACCAAAGGGAAAGAAAACATTTGATGGTGTAACGTGGCTCCCTCATTAAGCAAACCCTGTGCAGCTCATGAAATGCTTCATTTATGGGGCTGCCAGCTGGGACAGAGAGGCGTTCTTACAATGCCTCACAAATGGAAACTTTGCACCCTTTAAATTTTTCCAAACTGATTGAGTTTATTTACCTTGGATTTCCAGGATGGGGCAAATGTGACCTTCATGCTATAGAGCGTAGATTCCAAGGTTTGGTATGTATAAGGAATTAAGTCTAACCCTCTCATTTTCAAAATGAGCAAACAGAGCACGGGAATATTCCATGGTTCTCCCAGGGTCCTAGGACAGGCTTAGGCGAAGCTGGAAAGGCCAACCAGGTAATCCAGCTGCCAGGCATGCCCCACCCTTCTCCCTGGAGACCTCTGTTGCTTTATGAACGTCCCTTTGTCAAGGCCAAGATCAAAACGGTAACTTTTTCCCCTTGAGTACTAGTGGCATGGACATTCTATGGCAAATAAATGTGCAAAGGGAGATAACCATGGCGTGTATTTTTAGAGTAAAAATTAAACTCCTCGTTCTAAGCGTATCACTGTGGATGAGCACAAAGACTCAGCTATAGAAATGTTTATGAAAATGTTTGTAAAAAATGAAAAAATTGGCAACCACCCAACTGTCCAAGAGCCGGGGAATTAGTTACATCCATTATGATCCAGCATCCCAGTAGGATTTATGGCCCCCTCTAAAATTCTGGAAAGTATTTATAGACTTAGAAAGGGCACAAGCCATGTGGAGGGGGAAGAAAAGTCTATAATATACTATATACTCAAGTGTTTTTAAAGTATAAACGTGTTGAAAATATTAGACAGCTAAACACAAACATGGTATGTTATTGTCTGAGTAAAGAACATGTAAGTCATATTTTCTAAGTGTGTTAAAATTTTGTATGAATAGGTATGTGCCTGTTACTTTTATGATGAGATGAATTCCTGTATAGCTGATATATGGAAGAAGAACATTCACCCTTAGAACATTCATAAGGTCCTCCCTGGGGAATGGCAAGTTCTGGGCAAATGCCTCTCCTCACTTCCCTTCTCTGTCCGTGGCAAAATATTTCCGGTGGTTTGCTGTGATCCTCCCATGCCCAGGACAAGGTCTCAGCATTCTCTCGACCATTATCAATCCATGGATGTTGGTACACATAGGGAAACTTAAATGGCATTTGTATCTTATTTTGATCTTGCAGAAAGCAGAAATTCTCTAGGTATGAAGATACCAAGGTAAGACAAGTTCAGTAGAAATTCAAACTAAAACATTTAGGCCTCCCTGGAAGTTGTAGTGGATTTTAGAACTCTGTAACCACAGGGTAATCATTATGTGTTTTTGTTTTTTTTTTCTTCTCCTCTGGAGAGTTTGAGTATGCACGCATCATAATGCCTCACCCCTGCCGCCCTGATTTGGGTGGATAAAGGAGTGTGTAACATCAGGTAGCAAGTTGGGGACCCTTATTTCTGTAAATGGTAAAATCGTTTCACATACACATTCATTCAACAAACTAATATTTATTGAGCACCTAATGGGTTCAGACTTCCGTGGACCATACCCAGGTAAGTGGGCACAGCCCTCCTCCTGGGGGTCCTCGGGCAAGCTGACCAGGGAAGGTGGGACGCCCCCATCTGTGGAGTTGCTCTAGGGGAATCTCTGCACCTCTAAACAGATGCTAAAGACTCAATATAGCTGGTAAAAAAAAAAAAAAATAGTTACCCTTTAGAATAACTTGATAGCATAAAATGAAAAAAAGGTTGGTAAAATATTTCTGAAATGTTAATGAGAATTACGGGACAGTTGAAGACAGAATGGAAAATTACAGAGCTCGTTTAATGTGATCATTAAGATCATTGTATATTGCCCTAAAGCAGTTCTACTGTTTGTATGTCTGCCCCAGGAATAATTAACCAGGCATTATCTAGAATAGTATTTTTCAACTTCTGTGACTGATCCCCAGCAAGAGATAAGTTTTACATTATGGCCCAGTGCACACATACATATGCAGTAATATAGCTGAAACAAAAATTTCACAAAACAATACCCTTAATATGTATGTATTCTGTTCTATTCCATGCTTTTTAAAAAGTTGGTCATGACCCACGATATTGATTTTGTTTCCCATTTATGGGTCACAAATCACAGTCTAGATAACTCCACTCTAGCAGGATACAAAAGCTTCATCTTTTACTTAAAAGCAGCTGATCAAAGAAGTCTTTGCAATTGCCTGATTCCACTTCCTGCAGCACCCAGTCAGATTAACCACCATTACTTAATGAGGGGTCAACCAAGAAATCAGATTCCACGACACTGTCGGCCTTGGTGATTGGCCCTGTGTGGGTAGTGGGAATTCAGTGGAGCATCACGGTTTGGTGTGACAAGATACAGGATGGCGTCAGCATGGGTGCAGTGGGGACAGGTGGAAGAGCCACCAAACCCGGCCTTGGCAGCGGTGTGGGTCTGAAACCATGTGATGTCCACTTCAGACATGAAGACGGAGCGAGAGTTATGTAGGTGAGCAAGGAGAGAGTGCTTTATAGGGAGGGCCTTACAGAAGTATAAGCCTGGGAGGGAGCATCATGTTTGGGGATGCAGGAAGCCCCATGTGGCTGGAGTGTGCGGGGCAAGCAGAGACTGGCAAAAGATGGGCGGGAGTGGGCGGCCATCAGGAATGTGATCCGAAAGAGTCGTTGCCCTGTCGACGGGTTGACCTTTATCTCTAAGGCAGATGAAGTCATGGATGGACTTTAACCAGGAAGGCACCAGAGGGTTGTGCATTTGAGGAAAGCCCACCATCTGCTATAGGGAGACTGAGAATGTAGGGACTGAACAGTAAGCCACTGGTATAACAGAGTAGCTGATGGCCTGGGTGGGGAGGTATGGATGGAGGAAGCATATTCAAGGCTTAATCTCTGAATGGAAGTGTACACACTGGAGTACGTAAGAGGAAAGAATCCACAGTGAAACCTCCTTAAAAAGGCTTGGATCACATGATGAATGGGGACATGGCTCATGGAAACAGGAAGCCCAGGAGGAGGGGCAATTTGGGAGTGGCATAGACCAGCACTGTCCAGTAGAACTTTCTGAAATAATGGAAATGGTCTATATTTGCATCACCTGTGGCTATTGAGCAGTTGAGATGGGGCATCTATAAGTTTTAGTTTTTACTGAGTTTTATTTAAGTAGCCACATGTGGCCAGTGGCTATCGTGCTGAACAGTCTCTGAGGCACCACCCTCAGGGAGGCAGAGCCTGAGGGAGTGGGGCAGCATGGGGAGACCACTCTTTCCAGATACTTGGCTGTGAAGAGTATAAGGAAAGAAGGTAGGACCCAGAAGGGAATGTGAGATTATATGTTTTTCTTGTTGCTTTAAACGCCAGTGGAAAGGGATTGCTAGAGCGGGAGCACAGACTGTGGTGGCAAGGGTCAGTGTGGCGCAGGGAGCTTCCCCAGCAGCCCTGGAGTAGAAGTGCAAACGTGGTCGGTAGTATCAGTGGCAGGTGCGCTGGAAAGAGTATGGGGCAAAGAAATTAAGGATGATGGCCAAAGTGGGGTTAAGTGGTGGACCATGGTATGTAGGCTGGTTAAGGGAAACAGGACACAAAGCCCAGGGTGTGGCATGGCCAGAGAGGAAAGGAAGTAAGTGGCTTTGACATTGAGGCAGAGTCCATGAAAGGCTGGGGTGAGGAACTGCATGTCTGTGGAGAAGTCCAAATCACCCAGGACAGTGGCAGAAGTTGAGTGGGGGAGAAGGACACTGAGCTGAGTCAGGAAATTCAGAGTCAACAGAATGGTCTACTCATAGCAGAATCCTTGATGCATTCAAATCCGTCCTCCTTCATCCTTTTGCAAATGTCCTGATCGCTGCTCTTCTCTCTGGGTGTTGGCAAGCCAGCTGCTTGAGGGTCTGGTCCAGAATCTTGCCCCTGGGGTCTACTGCATGCTGTGGATGGAAACAGATATTCACTGAGATCCTGCTACATCCAAGGCACTGTTCAAGAGGCTGCAAAGAACATAAAAGTATGCAGGAGCCAGTATCCTGCCTTCATGGGGCTCCAGTACGAGAATGAAGCAAGTACCAGGGATATGTAGGGCTGGATATATAGGCCTGGACCTTGAATTTCAAGGGAAAAAAGATTTTACTTGGCTAAGTAGTTGCCAGTGTGGAGCAAATGACAGATAAAGATGGGAGAGTGGGTATGCATTCAAAGTTCTGATTTAGGGAGGTCAGCCTGGGAGCAAGGTTGTTCCGCAGGGTGCGACACAATGAGCCAAAGCATCAGAGAGAGAAGCAGCAAACCAGGGTAGAGCAGTGGAACTAAAATGGCAAGGACAGGTGGAAGCGTATGGTGGAGGTAACATCTATTGAAAGCCCCTCCCCCCCCCCCGACAACTGACTAGAGGAAAGCAAAAGAGAACCAATAGAAGCACAAGATGAAGCAGAAGATTTCAGCCCCTGGGACTGAGCGTATGGAGAAGCCTTATCCTAGAGTAAGAGACACAATCAATCAGTCGTCTCAAGGGTATTGTCGGGGCGGGGCTGGGCTGGCCATCAGACTCTCCTTCCGCAAATGCCTGCTCTTAGCTTTCAGAGCAACCTGCTAAGCAAAACACACAGAGAACATCAGCCCCTGGGTGTACCTCTGGACCCATGTGTCCTTCCTGAGCAAACTATCCTTGTGTCTTGGGTGAAT